ATATATATATATATATATATATATATATAAAATTATATTTATTTATAATATTTTTATTATATTTAATATATTTTAGATTGTGATTTTTTTTTTTTTATTTAGGGCAAAATGTGTTTAATTGTCTTGAAAATAACTGTATAATAGAAAGAAAAAAAACATTAATGCCCTTAAACATATTTCTAACTACAATTTTCTTATTTTTATTATGTTGTTTTTTTAAAATCCAGACATGTTCTGTACAGGTTTTGTGAAAGTCGCCCAGCTGCATTTCCGCCAATCGTAACTTTTCATTCACATTTTGCTTCTCTTTATGAATTGAGTAATTCAAACCTTTAAAAATAAAACGTTCCAAAGTCTTCCTCGCGTCACGCTGATGCTGCTGTAAACGCGAGCCATTCATGCTTAATCCTGACTGATTTAACTGGGGAAACTCTTTTGGATGTTAATGGATTAAGCACTGAAAAAATCCACACACAGCTTTAGCTTTGCCCAGTTTTCAAGCTGAAAATGACATTTGTAATGCAATCAATGGGGAGAGTCTCAGAACACTGTGTACTTCTGAATGAAGTCAAAAGGACTGACCTCATCCTGCGGCGAATCGGAGTCCAGTTTGAGCGAGAGGTACATGACTATGTGTGGGACATGTGCGATGGACATCTGGAGCTCGACAGTGTCCTCGCCCCACAGCAGACGCACCAGCTGACTGACCACAGGAGCCGCTTTCGCTCTCGAGTCCGGAGCCCTCCCGGCGGGACAGACCGTCTCCAGAGTCAACCTCAGCTGAGAAACAACCTCAAATAAATACTGTGATGATGACAGGACAATACTCTAATACACTTACACTAAGAAGAGTCTATAAAACAGGAACTGAATTGCATGTGTTTGCCTCCTAAACACCTTTGAGCTACCATTGGTCCGTGGCGATTATGCAGTCGGTGGGTGTGTTCTGGAACTCCGCCGCCTTCGACGTGCGATATCCCCCCCCGGTTCGTTTCTCATTCCACGGAGGCCAAACAGGAGAACACATCTCCGCGACTATCTTGCGGGCTGTGCACGGTCCAATCTTGAATGTTTTCAGCCACACTTTGTTGCGTGGCCCCACAGGCTAGTACTCGGAGTGTCAAAGCCAGTCTCTCCGTAGTGGAAATCGGTGAAAAATTTTCACATATGGTGATACCCTTTTCAAGAGATCGTCAATCCACGCGGCGCACATTCTGAAGTAAGAAAAATGCACTTCCTCATCTGTGCTCCGCATTTGCTGAATAAAAAGGGCAAACTCGCCATCATTCTTTCTGTTTTCGTTAAATGGACGCACATACCATCTACGTCGCTTGCTCTTGTTCTTTTTATTTGCCACTGTATAGATCAATGCTAGATGTTTACGAAACTGTTCTTCTCTCACAGCCGCCATCGTTGTTGTGTTTAGGGGGTACACGCGGTCGGCGTGACACGTTTACAACCCCGCCTCCAGCAGCACGGGGGTGTCGGAATGTTCGAAAACAGTATACCGTCGACTGGCTCCATAGTTTCCACATGACATGAACACAAGCTCAGATTTAATGTCAAATCAAGACCAAGATACAGCATCACAGTTTATATGAATTACAGGGCATTTTTTAATAGCGATCAATTAACAAAACTTGGGTGGATAAACAATAATTTTATTTTTTGCCATGTTCTTTGTGATCACCATAGGTTCACGGTTCTGCTGCACTTATGGTGAGTTCAAGTCATGTCGGATAGATCGTATTTACGAGTTGAACGCACATGAATGCCACCACAAAGTCGTTATTACGAGTGGGAAACTCGAAATTTTCTTTAAGCCCCGAGTTTCCGAGTTGGGGGCGTGTCAATGAGAAACATGGCGGAATCGATGGATGCAACGTCTGTAGTTGACCGTAAATTTTTGTTTAAATTGATAGTTTAGTTGTCCTATAAACTTAAATTGGTCATGTTCTTGTTACGCAGCTGAAATCCAAGTAAAAAAATGCAGACCCTGTTGTATTTTCTTGTAATTTATTAAAAGGTACACCGCCATCTTGTGCCGACTAAACTGACTTGAACGCACCTGGCGTCGTAATTACGACTTGTCAACTCATAAGTACGAACGTCCCAGGAGGACTTGAACGCAGCATAAGGCCCCGATATACTTCAAACGAAATCGAAGAACGAACTGAAATGACGTAATTTCGAACTAAATCAGGCCGAAACGAAGTTCGAGTTCGAAGTTCGAGTTCGAAACAGCTCACCAAAGCGAACTTTTTGGGGGAGTTCGTTTTGCCTCCTAAACACCTTTGAGCTACCATTGGTCCGTGGCGATTATGCAGTCGGTGGGTGTGTTCTGGAACTCCGCCGCCTTCGACGTGCGATATCCCCCCCCGGTTCGTTTCTCATTCCACGGAGGCCAAACAGGAGAACACATCTCCGCGACTATCTTGCGGGCTGTGCACGGTCCAATCTTGAATGTTTCAGCCACACTTTGTTGCGTGGCCCCACAAGCTAGTACTCGGAGTGTCAAGGCCAGTCTCTCCGTAGTGGAAATCTGTGTCCTGTGCGTTTTTGCATGTTTCACATATGGCGATACCCTTTTCAAGAGATCGTCAAACCGCGCGGCGCACATTCTGAAGTATGAAAACTGCACTTCCTCATCTGTGCTCTGCATTTGCTGAATAAAAAGGGCAAACTCGCCATCATTCTTTTTGTTTTCGTTAAGTGGACGCACATAACATCTAAGTCGCTTGTTCTTGTTATTTTTCTTTGCCACTGAATAGATCAATGCTACTGCCAGATGTTTACGAAACTGTTCTTCTCTCACAGCCGCCATCGTTGTTGTGTTTAGGGGGTACACGCGGTCGGCGTGACACGTTTACAACCCCGCCTCCAGCAGCACGGGGGTGTCGGAATGTTCGAAAACAGTATACCGTCGCTTAGCCTTTTCGAACTTCTTTTTGCCCTCAAACGAAGAACGAAAAAGAACTTTGTTTGAAGTATATCAGGGCCTTTAGTGTGAAATGAAATGTTCTATAAATGAATATATTATATTATTATATTATATATTACAAACTATTATATGAAAGTATTAATAATATTTCAACATTTTGCAAGAATTAATGTTTACACACACACACACACGTTTGTTTCTGTGAATTGTGGGGACTATCCATCGACTTCTATTACTTTTATACTGACCAAACGATATTTTCTATCCCCTAACCCTAAACCTACCCTTTACAGAAAACCTGTTTGCATTGTTACACATCATTTACTATTTTTAATAATTTTTTTCCCCCAATCTCAACAATTTCAGGTTTTACTATCCTTGTACACAATGTAGCATAAACAAGTACACACACACAATCCAAAATTAGTTTCAATCCAAAATCGAACAACAAAAATTAGACATAATATTTAATTAAATTAACTAAAATAATTAAATAACTAATTCGGGGCCAGATTTACTAACAGCTTGCGCCAGCGCAAACCATCTTTTGGCGTTAAAATAGTACTATCAGGTTTTACTAAAGACGAATATGAATATGCAGATATGCATTTTTAGGAGTTTCCCTTTCAGACGCAAAAGTTATGGGAGGAGAGTATTAAAATGAATCACGAAACGCGATTTACTAACGTTCGCACTCGTCAAATTACTGGTATTTGCGCCATTATTTAACGTCCCAAAAAAAAGCATGTCAAACTATTTTGCGCTTGAAATATAATATTTTAGAATATATTTTTTAATTAACAATATTAATATTTAATGTATTATATTTTTACTGTATTACATGAATGAAGGGCATAAATGTGTATAAAAATGTCTGTAAAACTAAAGGATAATGTCCTGGCAGAAAAGTACCAATATTACCAAAAATGACCAAAACATCTCTTTTTCTAGAATTTATTTTCTTACAGTGTGAGAAATTGTCCAATTCAGCATGAACATTGGAAAGACGACAAGAAATTATGGTTCTTTGAGATCGCCAAATTTATTTTACATACTCGCCAACAACTTTTTCCTTTGCACCAAGGTCAAGCTAAATTAAACTTAAAATAATGGAGCATATTGAGCACAGCGGTATAATAATTGCTGTTATTGCCAGGGTTGTATTACTTGACATAAATAAGTATAACTTATATTTTTGGTGCAACAGCCTGACATCAAGCTTAACTTAAGTAAATAACCTCAGAAAGGCTGAATGATGATGGTGTAAAGAGATGTGGTTGTGTAAAAAGAGACTCGCTGTACTCTACCACATGCTGCTTCAGTAATTCAGAAACATAAACAGTTTTTGCAGTAATACTGTGCCATTCCTCCACATCTGATCTCTTTGTGTCTGATTTCCCACATGCAAAATTACTTTGAAAGTGGCATTTGTAATGTTACAAAAGATTTCTATTTCAAATAAATGCTGTTCTTTTGAAATCAGTTTCCACAAAATTATGAAGCAGATTGTTAATAATCAGAAAAGCAAATCAGCATATTAGAATGATTTCTGAAGGATCATGTGGCACTGAAGACTGGAGTAATGATGCTGAAAATTCAGCTTTGCATCTCAGGAATAAATTACATTTTAAAATATATTAAAACAGAAACCAGCTATTTTAAATTGTAATAATATTTCACAATATTACTGTTCTTACTGTATTTTTAATCAAATAAATGCATCCTTGGTGAGCAGAAGACCTGCAGCATTCAACTCACACATAAGATTTAAGATTCAAGGTAAACATGTTGCTCCAAAGTCAGCCACATATTGCTGCTAAAAACAAACCGTAGCTTTCTAAGATTGTGCAGATCATAAAAGCCATGCACTCAGAGATCAAGGAGAGCAGCAGCTCCCAGAAAGCGGCGTATTCACTCCCACGCGGCTGTTTAACATGCAGAGCTGGACTGCAGCGCTGAGCCTGAGGACGGCGGGCGGGAAAACCACACCAGCTTCCACACCGACCTCATATTCACATCACACATCTCATCTGTAAGTTGCTCTGGATAAATGCGTCTGCTAAATGAACAAATGTAAATGTTAATCGCAACATGAAAATTTGATACCGGCATATCCCTACTGTAGATATGATGTCTTCATAGAGTAGGGCCAAAAGAGGTCTGCAGGCTGACACTTTTAAGAGCTATTATTAAATAAGTATTATTTTTTATTTATATGTTGCTTCAAAAAAAAAAAACAGTATTTCCTATGATACTTGCAGTACTGTCGGTAAGATTTTGTAATGTCTTTGAAAAAAGTCTCTTCTGCTTACCAGGGCTGCATTTATTTTACCATACAATTTAAAGTTTTTCTATTTAAAATTTCAATTCAAATTTTCTATTTGAATATATGTTAAAATATAATTTATTCATGTGATGGCAAAGCTGAATTAAATTGTATCAAAAATACACTACAAAAATATGAAATCAATGTCATATTTTTTCATATTTTCCATTCATCAGATTATTTTAACCAATTTCAACGTCATTTATTAATTTCCACAACATTCACCTTAATTTTTTAAGTCAGTTTAATATCATTTAAGTTCAAATAACTTGTACAGCCAGTTTGATTCTGAATGTTTTAAGTTAAAGTAAGTGTGATTTTTAGTGTACAGTAAAAACTGTAATAATAATTATATAAACTGTGAAATATTATTACTATTTAAAATAACTGTTTTCTATTTCAATATGTTTTAAAATGTAATTTATTCCTGTGATAAAACCTGAATTTTCCTCATTACTCTAGTCTTCAGTGTCACATGATCCTTCAGAAATAATTCTAATATGCTGATTTGCTGCTTCAAAAACATTTCTTACTATTATCAATGTTGAAAACATTTGTGCTGCTTAATATTTTGCGGAAACTGTTTCTTCGGGATTCTTTGATTAATAGAAAGTTCAAAAGAATAGTATTTATTTGAAATAGAAAGCATTTACAACATTATAAATGTCTCTTTTGATCAATTTAATGCATCCTTATTGAATAAAACCATTACTTTCTTTCAAAAACAAACACACAATCTGACCCAGTGTTGGTGTCAGTGTCCAAAGAAAGGCTGCTGTCAGTGATGGTTTTGTTCCTGTGGTTTAGAAACTCTTCAGGTCGGTCTTAACATTGAAAATCAACGATGAAGCAACTCTTACCTCATAATTTCACCAGCCGAGGCAAAGCTGATTTTAAAACTTTGGCAAGCCTTTTGAAACCTCACAAGAGCACAGTTCCTCTACCCTAATATCATAATAGTCTTGCCTGTCCTTTTTTGTCCTACGGTGTAATTTACTATCGGTTCTCGTCCTTTAATCACTTTCTCCCTCTCTCCTCTCCACAGGATAATGGCTCTTTTCCTGTGGCCTACAAAAACAAGCGTTAGCATAACCGCCGTCGCGACGCAACTCTGTAATTTCGACATTCCGTCCTCTTTCAGGCAACTGAGTGAACAAGACCAGCTTGAGAAGTGATCAAATGGAAAGCATTCTCAGAAAGAAGCGTAACTAGCTATAGTTACAGAAAAACACGGCTGCAGACCGTCAGCGTTTGACTGAACTCAACATCTTCTGTGAGTGACGCTTGCTTGTGAGAAACTCATCCCCACACTTAAAAATAAAGGGTTTTTATTGGCATCTATGGTTCCTTGAAGAGCTTTTAACAAGCTTTCCAATGCAAAGGTTCTTTATAGTGCAAAAGGGTTCTTTAGAATTTTAAAATGTTCTTCACTTGAAGAAAAATGGCTCTTTTAAGAACTGTTCAAAGGTTCTTTGCAGAGCCAAAATGATTCTTCTTCTCCCATTTTGGGACCTTTATTTTTAAGAGAGCACGGCAAAAAAAAGGACTTCTTAATTAAGCTTTCTGGACGTTTTGTTGAGTAAATATAACTAAAAATCTAAAAAGCCTAAAAACACTACATAAGATGTTAAGACTTGTTTGTGTAAGAGCATCTTTCACAGGAGTGCATGTTGCCTTTCTGCAATGGATTTGTTTAGTTAAAAAGCAGTCTCTTCCGTTCACCAAGGCTGCATTCATTTGATCAAAAATACAGTGAAATATACATGAAATATTATTACAATTTATAATAACTGCTTTCTATTTTTAAAATGTAATTTATTCCTGTGATTAAAGCTGAATTTTCAGCATTGCTCCAGTCTTCAGTGTCACATGATCCTTTAGAAATGATTCTAATATGCTGATTTCCTGCTCAAGAAACATTTCTGATTATTATCAATACTGAAAACCATTTTGCTGCTTCATATTTTTTGTGGAAAACTTTTTTTAATCAGGATACTTTGATGAATAGGAAGTTCAAAAGAACAGCATTTATTTGAAAATTAAATCTTTTGTCACATTATAAATGTCTTTACTGTCACTTTTCATCAATTGAATGCAACCTTGCTGAATGAAGGTCTGAAAAAATGAGTCTCAATGATATTCTGATCTCTATATGTCTCAAGTCTCTCATGTAAGAAAAAAAATCGTAAAACTGATCGATTAGAGATGTAACAGCTTATCTCTCGTTCATGACTGCATGAATAGTGCGGGACACATTGCACGCCAAAGTTTAACAGTTGGGGTTCAGATTACTAATGTTTTAAACGTGCATTTCTGAAACCAAAAATAGGGTTTATGTTTATATGCTTTTATTTTCAAACACCAGTTGAGCTGAGTTTAGAGCTCATTTGCAATGTGCATTCAGACTTCACACAGCTTCTGGGTTTGGGGTTTAGTTGAAGTGTTTTGGGTCGAAATCAATCACTATTTTAAATGGAAAATGCAATTGAAAATGGCAAAATTGTACCAACATTTTGCAACAAGCAACACCAACCCAAAAAGATCAGCGGCAGCTCACGACATGAGGAAACTATCAAAGCTTAATGCACATTGACAGTCCATTTGTCTTGTTTATGACAAGATTACCGCCAATATTTAAGCAAGCACATTTAACCAAATTAGGTTTAACTCTTAACAATTTGCAGAATTATTTGTTAATGTAAAAAATACTGTTAGTCTGGAAGGTTTTCAGGAAAAGAATAAAATCAGTCAGGCCGAGCGCTTACTCGCAAGCCTGAGAGGCACAGACCAGAAACCAAAACCACTTTTAGAAAGTGCTCATCTGAAACGATTATGTCTTGTTAAAAAAAACAACAACTCATTTTCAAGCCAATTAATCCCTTAAAACAGACCTCAGCTCCCAAAATGTAGAGTTGACCTGATGCGCCCTCAGCGTTTGTGAGTTTACGGGAGGTCTGCGGGCGGGAAAACTGAGCGTTTGTCTTACAAGTGGTGAAAAGCATCTGAGATTTAAGATTGTTTTCGGCTTGGGTTGAACTATTTGACTGCTGCAGACGACTACAGAGCCAAATAAGCATTCTGAGCCATACATTTGTTCATTTTCATTGCTCAAACTTCAAAAAGACTTCGGCTCATTGTTTCAAGCATTTAGTCTTAGAAAGATGCTCATTTGCAAGGAAAAGACACAAAAACTCGCACTTACCTGTGTGGGGCCCGGTATACATGACAAAACCCTCTCAATGTTTTCTGAAGTAACATCCACATCGTCCACAGCAACCAGGGCATCACCTACAGAACACATGAAAAACTCACATCTGCAACTTGTCGCTTGATTCTCCAGTGTGCAAACAGCTTAGGCAAATTGTATCTCTATCACAAGATAAAAACAAATGCACATCAAACAGCACCTCCACCTGCCTTCGGTAGATTTGCACACTCTTCCCTTTGCGGCATGCAAAGTTATTTCAGATAAACGGTCTAATTGCTTTAGTATGGACGGGCGTTTGAGAAACAATCGTAAAAAGCTGCTGGGGAAAGAGTTTTCGGGGTGGTGTAACCCGTTTGGAATTTCTTTGGTCTGTCTCGGGTACAAAACGACTGCGGGTTCCCCTTGAATGTTGCTTTAGGACACCATCAGAAAACCATTCACTGTAAATATACAGCGCAATTGAAAAAACTGCTTCCAATTGTATCATTACTAAATGTGGTAGGGACATAAACCGAGAGTGTCTAACAGGCAGTTGTGAGAGAGAATATGAGTAAAACCAACCACAACACCAAGCTGTAACTTGACTTAACATGTAATTTGACTTAACAGATAGATTTTTTTTTGTAGGAAACTCACCAGGTGTTTTGAATGAAAGCAAGTTGCTTCCAATAATCAACATTACGTTCTCTAATAAGTTAATTAATTGATCTGAGAGACCCATTTGTACAAATTGGTACGTATCTGCTAAACGCAATGTCCAAACATAACGAAACTTGAAACACGCTGACAACAGGACATTTTGAGGACACACACCAAATTTCGTCCAATTCCGCCTATAGGGGGCGCTAAAACTGAAAAACTAGTGATGTATGCTTTCAAATCAGTGCTTTGTGAAGCTTTGAAACCTCTGTGAATCATTTCTTTTCGAACCCATGGTTCAGTGCATATCAAATTTCAAAAATCGCATGATTTCTGTAGACAAGGCTTTGTTACGACTGTTTTGAAATGTTTTAAAGCTTCAATGGCTCACCCGTAAGGCTGATAACAGTGAACCCATGAACCAGTGTCTATGGTTTTTAACTAATCTTGGACCAGTTTTATAAATTTGCAGACATTTTAATGACACATTGGTATAATAAAAAGGAAAAGTAATAGTTAATATTTTCTTACTGGCCTGTTTAGCCAAGCCCTCCATAAAACAAGCCTTGCAAATTAATAAAAGAACACATGTTAAACAGACACTTCATATTTAATGGAACTTGATGATTTGCAAATTGCATTTAATAGATTACACTTTCAATAAAATATTTGCACTTGGTTTTTAAAACGTGTTTATGCATGTTTGGCCTGGATTTAAACAGCTTTGACCAGCAGGCATCAAGTGTTTTCGAGCACTTGAAGCTGTGAATCATTTTGCGAAGCAATTGGTGCAAAGTTTCAAAAATCGTACTGGACTTTTGAACTGTAGTGCAAGTCTGTAAGTAAAAATACTAGTCCATTTTCCTAACTGACCCACTCCTTGTCTAGCTGCGCTTACCGATAAGAATTTCCGCACACTTGCTAGCGGGACTGTGAGGGACCAGACCATGGATGATGAGTTTTCCCCCTTTTTTCCCTGCATTTCCTCCTGGACGGTGAACGACACCCAGCAAGGCCTCTAACAAACCGCCTCTCTCAGGAGACGGAGATGAGGAACCGCCGAGACGTTTGGGGTTCAGATACACGCACACATCCTTCAGACGCTGCTGCTGGACCACGACTCCAGGCCGCTGGCCCGCTTGATTCTTCAAGATGGAGGTGGGACGCTGGGAAGACCCTGCGTCTTTTCCATCAGCGGCTTTCCTTTGAGATGGTCGCCGCTTTCGCCTCAGGATCTTGGTGAACTTCTTGAGTTTTGCTTCGGTTTTGTTGCTGGAGGCCGCTTGCTTTTTGCCATTGTCTGTGATGATCTCCGCCTCCTTTTCGCTGAAGCGGACGTGATTGGTGGCAGCGGAGTGACTGGCAGAGACCTGGGCCAGCAGAGCTTCTTCCTCTCCCTCACTCAGCTCCAGATAGAAGAGTTCACCGTTCTTCTGGACGTCATCCAGCCATTCCGGAACCAGGTCACTGTGACACAAAACAAAGAATACATTAGAGCAAGTGATGAAATCCAGAATGCAGTAGCCTTAAGAAAGTATGGACAATGGATGGACAATAAAAATGTCTGACTGTCATTATTCTCAGAACTAACTTTTCTGAGTCAGCCCAGCTTATTTTTTCTAAAATCTATCCATTCCCACAGCTGTGAATAACTAAAACTAAATTTCAATATCGTGATAATACCGTATACCGTGATAAAAGCATTAGCAATTAATCGCAACATGAAAATTTGATACCGGCATATCCCTACTAGGAACTAACTAAACCAATTCAACCAACTACAAAAAGTAGAAATCGACTGTAGGATTTATTTGGATATTATTTCAAAGTTGTAAATAAAACAAAGATTATTGGAGTATGTTGTATACCTCAAAATTACATGTTTAATTAAATGCGTTACTTGCTGTTTCTTTGTAATTGCGAAATTTACTAGCAATTTCTGAGTGAAAATGGTTTCAAAGCCATTTTTTGTGTAGTATTTATTAATATTTTGAATAAGCTTTGATTTTATATTTTCAGTTATCATTTAAAGTTTTAGTAATTTTTATGCTCTTTAGTCATTTTTATTTTTCCAAACATTCCTATTTAGCTTCATTTCTATTATTTTGGTTTTAGTAATTTTAGTACTTAATCTTAAACGTATTTTATTTTTTATAGTTTTATTGGTTAGTTGCGTTGTTTTCATTATTATTATTTTTAGTTTTAGTTAACAATAACCACACTGGACATTAACTATTCACAATTATCGCAATTTTAAGGTTCAAATTTAGATAAAAGCATATATTAGACTTATTAACTGATTGTTATTTACTTTGGAGGCTTTACAAAAGTGACAAATTCATTTTAAAATTAAAACTCCATGTAGTTTCTCCAATGATTTGAGTTTCGCAGACTGCATGTAGACATATAATTATACTAAAAAATTTAAAAATGTTATTTAAAATAGTTTAAGATGAAGTATAGCAAACGATCAACTAAGCACGTCTCACAAACACAATATTCTGCAAAAGAAGACATTTGCTGTTTTCTATGCGCGTGAAAATATTGCAGTCTCTCACTTTTTTGCAACAGACTGCATTTCAGCACCAGTAATGAAGCAATACATGATATAAGAGTGTCTTGAAACACAAACTAAACACTACATAAGCAATGCTGCAGGGAAAGCCACACATCTTAAAGCTTTGAAACCGAATCCTCTCCTTCATTCCAGAAAAACTCAACTCAATATTCAGCCAGACATTATGTTTTCTTCCCCATTTCTAAATTAAGCCACACTGCTTTGGTGGTTAGCTCTTGGCAACCATGTCCATAAAGTCACTAAAGATGCTGAATAGCATATAATTATTTATGATGGCTGACTTTCCAAATTGGAAACAGAAAATCCCCTTAAAAATGAGAGAGGGCAGGGAATGGACAAAGTCTATGTTCCCTTTTCATGAGCCTCTCTTTCTAAATGTGGGTCAGAAGAGACCACTCAACTGAAATGAACCAAAACATGAAGAGTGTCGAACTCAAACTAGCTATAATAGATTTTGTTATTTTAATACACTTAACGTAAAAAAATAATAAAACCAAAACTAACACCATTAACGTTATATACAGGTCTAATATGTTTACAAAAGAATGCAGCCAAGTTTACAACGAAAGCCAAGTTTTATAGTGAAGCATGCAAAATGCTAGATATCTAATTAGCAATCCACTTATTAATAATGAGAGTTTTTGAATTTGTTTATGCTCTTACTCGGAGTAATCTGAGTAACTGTAACTTGATGCATCAGAATCAGTTTCGCTCCCTCCTTCGTCCTCCTTATTTTCGCGTATGTCGGATTCATCTTTAAAATGTCTAGAAGCCATTAGCGCATTTTTCTACTCAATAAACTGTGCTCGTGTCCATTTAGGTCTGTTACAAGAGGCGCATTCTTCTTAACGACAACAGCGTCTTGCCTTGTTATCCGCATACGGGTCTCGTCCAACCACGTGACGCGTTTCTCAAACAGCGATTGGTAGAATCGAGTCGTTTCTATAGCAACACGGAAGCTTCTGTTGAACAGCGTGGAAAGTAGTTACGCTAACGTTACAAGAAACGACAACAACAACAGAATCGCCTGGCGACTTCAGAATCATTTAATAGTATTTGAATTAGCATAATTAAAAGCAAATAGCATAATAATGGAATAGTAAATATTATGAAAGCTTCGTTTTAAAATAAACTAGACGTTTATAATGACAGCTAACGCTTCTAAATAAATTAGCGATTTTGTCATATTGATATAAAGTTCGGTTTAAAGCCGTAATTACTCGTTTTAAAATATGTAAATGTGTCTGCACCCAAGTGGCCCCCAAAAACCGCACATGGTCTTTAAAACCCCTCCGGCATGCGAGAAAAAGCTGCTTGGCATTCAACAATTCAACTAACGTTATGTCGCTGAGACACGCAACAAACAAACAACACACAATATATTATCAAATAAAACGAGTCCTACGAACCTGTAAAGAAGCACACTCCGTATAGAATCAAAATCCTCCAAGTTATTAGAGAAAGACTGAAAAGATCTTCCATCCGAGCTATTATTAAACATTATTTATGCTTCATACTGATGACAAACGGGTTCGTCGTTATTAATAAATTAGTCCTTGATGTAGTTCATAGATCCCATCCGACTATTACATGCCTGAGTTTGAATATATTAGCGATTCAGTGAAGAAATGGTAGGGATTCTCGTTTGAAAGACTGTTATTAAGAGTTTAGGAGCTCCATTTATGCCGGGACCAGACGATGGCGAAACCAGCTTCTGTAAAGAAGCAAAAGAGAGAGAGAGAGAGAGAGAGGGGGGCTGCCTCCAGTATGAAGCCTAAGCACAACATAAACGTTTAATCCGTGTAAAAAGTCTGCTGCAATTCATTTATCCATCATATATCCTCAGTCTGTCTGGCATGAAATGTAAAACATATGTGGGCATAAGAGCTTATTACCAAGAGTCACACGTTATATCTATCAACTGACCCATGAGTCCTCAAACCCCAGATCATAATAACTATCATCATCATACAAGCACGATCCTGCGCTCTGTATTTATTCAAAGATTAAGCTAGTATCATTTAGATCACATATAGATTCTGATCTCTGGATATCCCAAGCCATCAACAAACAAACAAACAAACAAACAAATAAATACATTTTAGATCACATTAATATTTTGATCCCTGGATATCCAAGGCCATAAATAAATAAATAAATACATTTTAGATCACATTAATATTGTGATCCCTGGATATCCAAGGCCATAAATAAATAAATAAACAAACGAATAAATAAATAAAGTTTAGATCACATTTAGATTGTGATCCCTGGGTATCCAAGGCCATAAATAAATAAATAAATTAAATAAATGAATAAATATTAGATCACATTAATATTGTGATCCCTGGGTATCCAAGGCCATAAATAAATAAATAAATAAACAAACGAATAAATAAATAAAGTTTAGATCACATTTAGATTGTGATCCCTGTATACCCAAGGCCATAAAATAAATTAAATAAATGAATAAATATTAGATCACATTTAGATTGTGATCCCTGAGACAACACTGAAGTCACGTTTAACTTTGTGGACTTTATCAAATAAATCCATTTACATCATTATACATTGAATATGTGTGGTCTTAAAGTATGGGCCATGCTCTGCTTTAATCATCGCTTTGAAGTCGCCGCGGTGACGTCATCGCGCCCCACCGTCTGTGAGCCTCATGGTGTCTTTGACGCGGTTCCCGCCGCGCGCTCTGAGAAGCTAAGACTATACTTTCAGGGATCATTTCTATAGTGTTTAACTAGGAAATGTGTTTCGGAAGTATTGCGTCTCTCAAGCCACGATGATGAGTGATAGTGCACTTCTCTGAGCGTAAATCTGGTAGTAATCTGTGATTTAATCACGGGTTGTTATCATTGATGAACGTTCATTGATTCTATATGAGTCTTTGAGGGGGAGTGCATGGTCCGAGTGGTTATTTAAACATGTAAACTGCGTTATAAATTATTTGTTATTATCGTATTATGATTATTACATATTTATTTAAATGTTCTATTAAAAATTGCATACTGAAAATGCGTTATTTTATTCCGAGCTACCTCTAAATATCATTATGTAATACATAAATATTATTTCAGAATCCCTTCTGTTTCACCTTTGCAGTGTAAATTTGGGGTAAGAAATGGTTTCACTCAAAAAACACTAAAGGCTGGCAAAACGACGTAAATGCAACAATAACTCAGCCCAAACGTGTTACAGGTTTTAGAAACAATTGTAAATGCTTTCACGAAAGTCTAACAAATCTATCAAATGCCACCTAAAATAATTAAATGCCATTAAGCATGAATGGTTCTGTGTTTAAGGTTATTCATATGTAACGCTTGTTTCTGTTATTAGGCAAGGATTGGCGACCTAGGTCGACCAGAAGAGATTAAATATCATTCTCCTTTTTTTAAATTATACACATTATGTATTAACATTGATTTAGTTAATTAAAAATGACAGGAGATCAGTTAAAACCATGCGACACTCATTCATGGGTTCACCAGATCCATTATCCTCTTGGATTTTTAGATACATCTGTTTGTCAACATATATTTAGGCACATTTGGATAAACTGTGAATTTATGTGTTTCAATAAGAAACAAAACCGGTATGCACACAATCCTTTCCGGTGGCAAACCAATAGTTTTCATTGGCAATTAGCGCACGCATATTTTAGTTTCACTTTACCATTTTTTAAATTTATTTTTTAAATCACAGTATATTTTACAAAATGGCATTTTGAAGGATTATAAGAGTCCAGGTGTTTAAATAGTTCATTATAGAAAATTTGTGTTAAAACATCTTATTGACGAATTTGTTTCTTACAAACATAGATTTTCACTCCATAAGACATTAACTGATGGACTGGAGTGGTGTGGGTTACTTGTGGATCATTGTATTGTTTTTATCAGCTGTTTGGACTCTCATTCTGACGGCACCCATTCACTGCAGAGCATCCGTTGCTGAGACACTGATGCAATGCTACATTTCTCCAAATCTGATGAAGAAACAAACTCATCTACATCTTGGATGGCCTGAGGGAGAGTACATTTTCAGCAAATTTTCATTTTGGGTGAACTATTCTTTCATATACATGCATTCTTCAGTGGGATTTGGTGAAGGCAATACATTTTATGCAGTTACAAACATCAGCCAATAGGTCGCGCTGATGCTCAACTACTTAACCAAAATGCAGTTTTAGTCAAGATTGGTTATTATTACAAAGATAAAGGCCCAATGTACTGTTCCTAATGCATTAGATTAAACAATGTATACAGTGAAAGACAATCTAACTGCCTCTATATTTGACACTAAAAGATTAACAAACACAGACGTAGTCATTATCAGTGTTGGGGAAAGTTACTTTTAAAAGTAATGCATTACAACATTGCGTTACTCCCTAAAAAAGTAACTAATTACGTTACTTAGTTACTTTTTATGGAAAGTAATGCGTTATATTACTTTCGCGTTACTTTTTAAATATAAGTAGGGCTTGATTGCTTTTAATATAGTAAGTTCTATTTATAGCAAATATAAAAAAAAGTAATCTGATTACTTGTAATGAGTTAACCCCAACACTGGTGATTACTTTATCACTTGTAATGTGATCCTTGCATATATCAGTTTTAACCAGTGGCTTTAATGCTGACAAAATATCCATCAGCTCAGTATTTAGACTGTTTGTGCAAAACCATCCCTGAGACAACCGAATTAGAGCATTTCAAAATAAAAGAAACGTGATACAAAAGATGCAGTCAAGTATTTTGAATATTATTAATTCAAGTTACTTCAGTCAAACATAAAGTCGTCTAATATATAGATGAGTTCATAACACTATTATAGGCTCGAGGCCTTATAAACTCTATGAAACCAAAGCCTATGTGTGTCTACAGCTCTTCTGGAGTGTTTATGTCTGTAGATGCCGCTGACGCCACCATGTAACCTTTTCCTGGAGGTATTCCCGCAGCAAGCGCATTAGTCCAGTCTTTAATGTCCCGAAATGTCAGAAGGATTTCAAACACTGGAACACATCAGCACATGCTAATTATACACTACGGGATTCTGATGGCAGTATGTAAAAGCGGAGTCAGAGAATGTGATCACCTTGGTTAATGGCTAGGATTTTAGAGTGGAAGTTTTTGGGGTTTGGTCTCTTCACCATGTACTCGTCAATCGGCAGCCGCGCCGTGCGAACGCCGAGCTCTTTCGCCCTCGTGTAGCTTATTTTCTTAAAGAATACAGCATGAGATCATGTTTAGTTTAGCTGTTTCTCCACTATAAAATCTCTCATTAACGTACCTTTAATAAATGACAATATGAACACAAGTATGAGTCTCACCTTTTGTATGGTTTCATCCACTAAACCTCCGAGGATGTAGACTTTATCTTCCTCCACGCACTCTAAAGCTAACAGGGAAACGTAATAAATATTTACGTAGAACTAAAACGAAAGAAATAAGGTATTGTAAGTTACTTACTAATTTTATCTTGACTTTACGACTTAACCTTAATATCACACTCAGCCAATTTTACTTTCGCATCCGACTCATTTATGATTGGAATACAATATTTAATGTGGAAAAATGACACAGATGTTGTTTAAGGCAGTGTTATTGTTAACTAAAATTAAAACTATTAAAAATTGTTTTCTGTAATTGAATCAAAGCTGAAATAAAAAACTAACACTTAAAGGAACACTCCACTATTTTTGAAAATAGGCTCATTTTCCAGCTCCCCTAGAGTTAAACAGTTGAGTTTTACCGTTTTCGAATCCATTCAGCCGAGAGGATCTGCAAGGAGGAATGGCGGAGGATCCCCAAATCCAGGTGTGAATAACTTGTTGCATCTTTCCCAAAAAGACTCATGGCTGTATTAGATCAAGAGGGTGCTTCTACTAAATACTGAGCATTTTTCAGTTTTTCTTTTTTAATAAATCTGCAAAGATGTCAACAATTCTGTGTTTTTCTGTCAATATGGGGTGCTGTGTGTACATTAATGAGGAAAAAAAATGAACTTAAATGATTTTAGCAAATGGCTGCAATATAACAAAGAGTGAAAAATTTAAGGGGGTCTGAATACTTTCCGTACCCACTGTATATATATATATAAGAAAAATAGGGTATGTTTATATATTAAATATATTTATATATAATATAGGAATATAAATGTATATACATGTAAATATTTTCTAAATATATACTGTGTGTGTGTGTGTGTGTGTGTGTATTTATATATACATAATAAATATACACAATACACACACACATATTACGTAAACAAAAACTTTGATTTAGGATGAGATTAATCGTTTGACAGCACTAATTGTTGTAATACTCCAAACTACATCTAACAGCACTCTAATGGTTCAAAAGAGAAACAAGGCTAATTTTTACAGTATAAATGAGTGTTTATGCATTAAAACATATAGCTGCCTTTCTCTGTTTAACAGGATGTTTAAAAGAACAATATTTATAATGGTGTTCGTAGCATTATAAATGCCTTTACCGTCATTAAAAAAATGTATGTTTATATATTTAAGTGAAATAAATAACCATGAATTCCATACAATTTAAAATGTAATTTTAATATTTAAAACCAATATAGTCCATACAGACATGTATGAATGGGACATGAAAATGTACTTCACACAGTAAGATCGTCAGGTAAGTTAACATGCTGTATTAAGACCCAATCACCTTTATTTTGTTTGTTGAGCTTCTTTCTTTGTTTCTCCTCTTTTCTTTTGCTTTTCTTCGCCTCCAGTCTCCTCTCCCAGTTCCGCTGCTTACGCATGACATTCTTCTGCAGAAGCAGAGAAACGGGTGACGCACAGGGAAATGTATTTATCTCAGTATTATTATTATGACTCAGTGTCGCCTTACAGAGCACGTGGTCTCCTCTCTGCCACACAAGGGCTCGAGCTCCACATCGATGCGCAGGAACTCCAATAAATCGTTGTTTACTTTGGACACGACTTCTGCACAACAACCGCTCTCTTCTTCCATTTGGTTTAATGTCTAAAGTGGGATGAATGTATATTCCCCACAAAGCACCGACAATCCCATCCAAATGTTTCGAATAGAAATGCAGGCTAAGTCACGATAAAATATGGATCACGGAAACTGACAAAGTGAAAGTAAGTTCGACGCTACGCTGCTAAAGATCATCTCCGCCCAACTGAAAGAGGAAGCAAGGAATAACTGAAATACCTCAGATATATAAACATCTAAATGTCCAAAACCTTTCATAAAACTTGTAAACCACACAAACGGCACCTTGGATATTTAGCTGAATCTCTATTCAGCTCGCGCTACTCTGGCGCATTGTGATGACGCAACTACCACGCTGTCGCTGTTACTGTAACTTTTGGGATTGTGTACAATTTGGATTAATAATAGAAGAAGACAAATAAAGCTTATATACTTATGATTACAGAATTAGATGATTTTCATTCATAAACAGACAAAAAAAAAAAGAAAGAAAAAAACAGCTGCATTTTTAAAAAATGACTTAAAACTAATGCTATCAAAATATGTAATCGCGATTAATCGCATCCAAAATAAAAGTTTTTGTTTCCATAATATGTGTGTACTGTGTATATTTATTATGTATGATATACATGTAATATGTAATATGTAATATCACATATACAGCATATAGTTTGAAAATATTTACATGTTTTTACGGCTATATATTTATATTCATATAAATTATATCATATATAAATATATTTAATATATAAACG